AGGGTTTAGGGTTTATACGGTTGATGATATAAATCCTGCATTACCCATAATAAGAAATATACCAGAATTCCCATAGTTTGGGGTCCTTAGGGTAATGCAGGATTTAACATCATCAACAGTCGGGCTTAGGGTTTCGGATCAAAGCGGGCCAGAAGTCCTGATGACAGTGGCTGTACTGGGCTGATAAGTCTTCTCGTGCAGAACCAGGATCGTCTAAGGGGCGCTGGCTTTGTCGGAACAGGATAAACGGTGTGAGAGGCAAGGATTACTCCATCTTGCAGACCGGAAGTTGCACACCCCATCACCAGGATAACAGGATAATTGTGATCGTAATACGAAACTGAGGCATTTGCAAGCAAACGCAGGGCATGCCGGTATATCGCTGGCACCTATCTTCCGGAACTTGCGGGCACCGAACCTGTGCGGTGGGACCTGCTCAGGTCGAGTAGCCCAGGGCTGTGCAATGAAAAGGTTGGCGATCAGAAGATTGCAACTTATAATTGGAACAGCGTTTGGGGGATATTATACTATAACTATAAAAAGGAGCCCCCGAAACCCTATTCTAATCACCAAGGCCCCGCTCATTCCGGGGCACGGAACCGATCAGTTTTGCGTCCAGGGCTCAAATGGGGAGTAGTTGTTCACTACCCAAAGGCACCGAAGTCCCAATTACCTATATAGTCGAAAGTAGGCTGTCTACAAGAGCACTACTATTCAGGTTTGGGTATATAAGAATCCCCCATATAGGACGCTTGGGCTACCCCAGCGCAGACTCAGACTCACATCTTTTTTCAGCAGGCTCCGAACCAAGAACATCTCAGTAAGAGGCTTCTCATCACGCAGCCGAAGACAACAACCAATGCTGAGAAGTGTTGAGTACAGGGTTCAGAAACGACTTCACAGGCAAGCATTCTATATCGGAGCTTCTCAAGCGAGCGCATAAGTTCGAAAATTCGTGAAGAGCGCTCCGATTCGCTTGTCTGACACAGAGCCAGGATCGGGACCGGCAGCACGAAATCGCGTACTTCTAGCAGAGAAGCATTTTGCATCCGTAGTCGTAGCACGCGAATTCCCTGCGCACCTGTAGAGAACCGCTGCTGCCCCGACCGGTCGGTGCTTCAGCAACATAGTTCAACGAAGCCTCTGGTAGTCTTCCCCGACCAAGTAGCGATAAGCTTCCTGCATCGCCGAGGCGTTCTTGTATCCATGAAAGGAGATGGCTTCAGTTTCATTCACCCAGCACCAGGGAGCAGTTGAGATGCAGTCGAGATGTTTGGAAGCGCAAAGGAACAGATCAGGCAATCGGCCCTGTTTGAGCCAGTCCCTGAAGCTGCCCTTGCAGGACTTCCCGGTATGCTTTGGCAGAACCTCGTTGTTGAACCTGGTCTGCCCCAGTGCGGACACAAGTCCATAATGTGGTAGCAGGTCCATCTCTTGAAAGCAAAAGCCGGTTATCACATCGTCCAGGTGGCCTGGAACCATGCGACACCCTTCTGGCAAACCAGGACCCGCCTCCTCACCCTCTGCATACTTATGTATTCGGTCATCCAACATGGTGGCAAATCCTTGCGTCGCCCTCCAGGGCAAACAAATCCCTGCACCACCATCGGGAAAGTCACCGACCCACACTTTCATCGTCTGCTGCACTTGTCCCAGGTACACCCAGGAAGAATTGCTCAGGCAGTGTTGGTGTACATATTGCCTGAAGCGGTTCCCAAAAATAGGGGACCCTAATATAGTACCCCAAATAGTAGGATCCCTATTATAAGGACCCCAAGATAAGGTACCCCCTATTTTCGGAAACTCCCATATTGCCTGAAGTGGTCGGCGAGAAACAGCGTGTCTGGGTCCAGGCGACAGACAAAGTCGGATGCAGGCAGGTTCGTTCCGATCCAATGCCACATCGCTAACGCCTTTCGGATCAGGTTTGTCGTTGTCTTTTGCTTCTTCCGCGCGAAAATGTCTGCTGAGGGTGCGTCACCGGCTTGATCAGGGTGAGCATATAACACCGGATAATACATGGCAAGGTTCCTAACAGGAAGGCCGAAACTGTTCCAAGACTGCGAATACTTCCTTGCTGATGCAACATAAACCTCGACAGAATCGCAGCCCTTGGCCCAAGTGGCTCTTGCAGCCCTGATGGACGGACCGTCTTCGGGCAGGCGTGCCGTCACAGCACAGTGAATGGCAGGGCGCCGAGCTGTCACATCAAGACACTGTCCGACTCTGTCTTGCGACACTGCTCCAGCCGGTTGACTCACCGGCAGTTCTCGTCGCCACCGGAGTTGGTGAACCTCAGCTTGAAATGAGAAGGACAAGTATTGTTTCTCGAACTCCTGGTGGTTGTAGAAGGCTTCCTGTGGCGTCAGGAGTCCCTGGCAGCCTGATTGCAGTAGACTGATGGACAGGCGCATGATTTCAGTCCAGAAGACGGTCCTCAAAGCACCATCCTTTTCCCACCAATGCGTCTGCAGGCCACAGAACACCAAGTAATGAAGCATCTCGAGCCTTTGCTCTTCTTACAGAGTCGACTCTTAAGTTGTCTTAGTAGGGCCACCGTAAGAAATTCATCATAGACCCCTACTGTTTATGGCCATCTAATAGGTAATCTTATTAGGGGTACCCCTTAAAGGG